CTTTCCTACCTGGCCGCCGACGGCTTTGTCCATGGCTCCAGCAGGCGGGGAAGGAGAGAAGGAGGTCGGTCGGCTTCTTCTTCGGCTTCTGAGGCGGCGAGGGCGCTCCTCTTTAACAAGCGCCGGCGGAACGGCAGGCCGCGTCCCCCATGGCTCCTTTCCCCCTCACAGACAGGCTTCCGCTCCCACCCTGCGCGGCGGCGACGGCTGACGCGGCTTTCCCTCTTCTTCCCCGAGCGGGTTTACGCCAGTGGCGTCGGCGAGAGATGGAGGCGAGGCAGCGAGCAGCGAAGCGGGAGGAGGAGGAGGAGGAGGAGGAGAAGGGAGGAGGCGGGGCGAGGATCATCTGGGACGGAAGCCGGCAGGGGCCGCGCCTCGCGGAAAGCGCTCGTTTCATGCGCTCTCGCCCGGCGGAGGTCCCCGCCCCTCGCCGTTGCTAAGCAACGCCGAGAGCCTGGTTTGGGGGCACTTTCTAGGCCCGCCGTGAGGAGGAGGAGGAGGAGGAGGAAGCTTCGGGGGTCTGCACAGCTCTCAGGTAGGCCCTGTCGTGGGCAGGGGGGCTTCTTCCTTCGCAGTAAGCACCGCCCGGCCGGGACAGCCCCGAAGCCCTTTGCCTGCGAGGCGAGGCCCGGCCTGCCTGGAGGATGCGTTGCGACAGCCCCGCTTGACTCGATCCCCGATGCGGTTCTCCGTGGGGTCCGAGGAGGGGTCGCCCAAGGGGGCTGCGGAGCAGGTGGGCTTCCCTGGGCAATCCTTTGAAGCCAGAAGTCGGGTCAGTTCAGGGGCCTCCCCTTTTTAAGGATGGGTAATCCCCATTATTATTCATCGGGGCCGGTTATAAAACGAAGGCATTGTTTTCTCACTCATTTGTCAAATTCGGCCCTTCAAGAGCTAATTCGGTTTTTTCATTTCGAGAAATGATTTCTTTATGTAAGAATTTATTTCGTTTTCAAGGCATTTATTTCTTTAAGTTTTGTCTTCAGAAATTTAATTAAGTTCTGTTTTTCGAAAATGTGTGTATTAAGTTTTGCTTTCCAGACATTGAAAGTTTTGTCTTCAGAAATTTATTTAAGTTCTGTTTGCAAGAAATTTATTGTATTAAATTTTGCTTCCAAGACATTTATTTAAGTTTTCTCTTCAGAAATTCATTCATGCATGCATTCATTCATTCAGTGCCTTCAAGTCGTATTGACTCCTGGCGATTGCCTGGATTAATCCCTGCAGTTTTTGTGGCTTCAAACCTTTTTGTGGCTTGCCTGGCCTCCTTCCTAAGGCTGAGAGCGGAGCACTGGCTTAAAGTCACCCAGCTGGCTTTCTGCTTAAGGCAGGACTCACTGTCTCCCAGTTGAAGCCTGACGCCTTAAACCATTGCACCAAACGGGCTAAAATATCAGATGCGTGGAAGGAAATAAAAAGAATGCAGGAAGAGATATAGAGGTAATACAGGAATGACGTGATACGGGAAAGGTATAATAAAGGATGGGTGTTGTTGCTCTTAACGGGCTGTATTTGCACATTTTATCAAGATAGAAAATAAATAAATCACATGTTAAGTCAAACAGTTGCTTGGATTTTTCTTTGGTTGGGGTTTTTGTGACCACAATATAATCCCGGGAATGTATTCATAACATCCGAATAGTTAAATATGGTTTTATGAAAATAATTGATTCATAATGGTCATTATCATTCTACTCAATATTCTTAGTTTTTTCTCTGAAAGTGAAGGAGCACATTTCTGCACAATAGCTTCGTAGATTTATTTTAAAAACATGTCTGCAGCTACCTTTGCAGCTACCTCAGGACCATTTCCCACGTTATATGTATTATTAAATTGGAAGTAGAATGTTGACTTCACAGATTGCATTAAACCAGAGCATAGCTGGCTGAGGAATTCTGTGAGTTGAAGTCCACAAGTCTTAAAGTTGCCAAGTTTAAGGACTCCTGCATTAAACCATAGTGTTAATAATAATTAGTGGAACAAAGACAATTTGTTTGATATTAAATGTTAATGGATTTTCAAAGACTAATAGGGATGGATCCAACACTAAATATTATGGCTTAGATCAAAATAGGTTTATTGACCCAATTTAAGAACATTTTCAAGGACATCATCATTTTATTTTGATAAGAATTGGCATAGATTGATCTGTATTGAACTTGTCCCCAGTAATGGGTCTATTAATCAAGTTTTATGTTTAGAAAGCAGTAATAGAATGTGTATAACAAATACTGCTCCATCATATATTCCCAGAGTGATCAAATAGTTCATAGGAAATGAAAGGTAATTGTGAAGCAAGTCATCTCCTGTTGATTACTTTAATCAATGAGAAATGTTTCTGATTTGATATAGATAACGCTGGCTCAGAGAACAGGGATGTATTTTGCCTGACCTATTTGTGGAAAATTGAAAGCAAGTATTCTTTAGGCAATGGCTAGTTGAGGTTTTTGCTCACATCAAAGTTGAACTCTCCAAATTTGAACCATTCTTCAAGAGATAGCTGGTTTTCAGATAGGCACTGTTCACTTGACAAGTATAAAATCTGCTTGTTATGGAAGTATGTTTGAAACCAATTTGATACTAAGCAGAGGAGGAGAGATGGTGAAGAAATTATTTCAGGCTCTCGTCAAATGATTTTTGACAAATCACTTTTGTTGTTTTTAAATAACTGCTCATATTTCATCTTGAAATAATCATTGAGATGATGTAATATTTGAATTAGGAAAATCCTTGTGCTTTAAATCGTATACTTCAGCAACCGTTGTTAGGTTATCTGCTGAAATTCACACCCTGGTTGAGATGCAGAGTCCTCTAATTCTGGCTCCTGGAGATCCTGCTGACTCTCTGGCAATAAAACAATGCAGAGAATGATCAGTAAAATCTGAGTATTTGACTGTCTTCTGGCACATGGCATTGGTTGAACCAGAGGAGGAAGGAATGATTAAATAGTGCAGATGAGGTAAGACTTTTCCTTGATTGGCATTTTGCCTAAAGGGGCTGTCAAAGATGGACCTGCTACCTCTACATTAGTTGATTCACATAATACTGCCAACATGGAGTTAGACAAAAGGTCATGTTAGAAAGAGCTTTAAAATGTCCAACACCTGTTTGACAAGAGCCTGTAACAAGATAGGGGGAAATGATCTGTTTTTTGTTTCTGGAAAACTGCATTCTACGAATAGTTTTGGACAGCAAAGTTAGCTGCAATGTACGAGACTCAACCATTACCTGTGCCCAGGGGCATAACAGCACATTCAACCAGGAGCGCCATGACTTCAACAGCTTGGGCCACATAAGCACCAATAACAAATATAATAAACATGTGGCAACCTGGGCCTCTCCATCGCCCTTCATTACACACTACAGAATTGATGGGTTTACCTCAGCTGAGGTTTCTTTCAGTAGGAGAGTTTTGCAAAGGGTCCACAGGGACCATGAGGGGACTCCACGCCAGACAGAGACCCTCCCATTGGACAGGCCAAGCTTTGGCATGTCCCCCTGCTGGATGCTCGGAGCAGCTCATTGGAGGAAGGGCGTTGGTACTTTACCTGATATACCCGTTCTCTGTGAGCTGCGAAGAGCATCCAGACCCACCCAATTTCTGTTTGGTGGGTTCCTGTCCCGCCCAATGGCTTAAAAAAAAAAAAGAGGCAAGGGTTACATTTTTTTGTCTTCACTGTTTTCAGCTCCATACAAAATGATCAGTAATATCAGAACACTATCCTGTGTTATATGCTGTGATGTAAATGCTAGATGGAACTGCGCTAAGCTATTTCTTTTCCTTTTTAAGGAACAGAAAGTATAACTTCATTTCCTATTACTTTGGAAAGTTTTCATACACGGAGGCTTAAGTAGTTTTAAGTCTCATGTATTATTTATGTTCATTTGGTCTCAAAGGTGCTTTTTCCCCAAAAGGCAACTGGACATTCTTGGTTTTTTCCTTTCAAAATGTTTCACTTCTCTTCACTTCTCAGTTCACCAAAGAAGTTTCTTGAATGAGAAGCGAGACATTTTCAAAGAAAAAAAACCAAGAAAGTCCAATTGCCTTTTGGATAAAAAGCAACTTTGGGACACAAAAAATGCATTGCATTGCAAAATTTTGAGTTGCCGTGTTTTTACATTCTTGCTGAAGCTCAGGAATATTTCTAAATGCTACCTGTGAAAAAGTCCACATTCTTAACATGTTTACACATAAATCAATTTCTTACTACTTTGTACTCAAGCAGTAGAATAATTGTAACTTTAGAAAAATCTTCATTATGTTAACATTTTCTGTTATGATAAAAGGCTGGATTAGAAAATTATGCAAAAGGTACAGTAGGATCAATTCCTGCTGTTGAGATGATATAGTAATGTTACCATTTCCCCTCCACCCCCATAACATTTCTTCATATTTCCCAGGGTATGATTAAGATGTGTATCCAATTCCTTATATAAAGAGATTTTATCAAGTCCTTAAAGCCCTGCAATTTAAGAGCAGAGTTTAATGAGTCATCCCGTAAATGAGTGCAAAATGTAGCAAGACAGTAACCAGCATTCAGATTTCTTAATATTTCTAAGTAAATAACTAATCTGTGTTCTTCTGTCCTTCCTAAAATGCATGTGCATTATCATTTTTATGCATGTTGTGATCCTGTTCATAAATGGCTCAATTAAAAACCTGGTCGCTGTTCTTAGCCTTCAAACTGTGGGAGAACATGTCCACCCAACAGAGAATCTAGTTAAAAATGCCCACTGCAAGCATGACTTAAAACAACTGGGTCCTTTGTCATGGCCATCTGATCTATTGAGCAAAAATGTAGCTCAGCTTGTTAGAAATCCTACTCCCAAAATATGTTGACTGTTGAATTACAGCCTGTGACATTTTTAAAAAATTGTTTGATTGTATTTAAAATAAATGTATTGCTGCACTGAAAATATTCATTGTGTTACTTTTTTTAAACAAATCCAGAAATACATATCCTTGTAAAGGTCATTTTAAAAAAAGGCTTTTATTCAAGCTTTGCCAACTCTGTGGCTCAACACTTAATATTTATTTAATCTGTTTCATAGCAGCAAAATTCCTACTATTATGTAGACAGATTGCACATGCAAGGGAGAATTTGCACACTATGGAAATGCAGTTTTATTTTCAAAGCTCTGGAGATGCACACAAAAATCTATGAAGGACTCTGTTTCTCGATTAGTTGCAGAAAACAAGATTTTATCCTCAAGTCAGTAATGTCCCTAAAGCAGCACTTTCCTGTTTCCCATAACTTATATGGGAGAGATTAAGAACACTCTGG